GTATGTATGGATCACTTGGGTCGTTACAAACATCTGGTGAAAATTTCATGTCATTAGCACCTCTAGRAATATATTTACTGAGAAAAATGGTGACGTGTTCAATACTTATTTTACCCACTGTATATACGCACATACATTCTGTATGTCTCTTCTGCACACACCTTATCATTTTCTTCTCACTTCCTCTGATTAGAAGAAAAAAAAGCGAGGTGTGATGAGAAGTAGGCCTCCCTCTTATATGGATCCTTTACATCTGAATGGCAAGCAGCCAGACGAGGTGGGTTACAACTGTGCATGTGCGTCATGACCAAATGCCAACGCTTTCTTGAGAGTGGTTTCCTGGGATCTGTGGCTTCGTTCACATACTGAACCCCATGACTGGACTGATGGAGACTGATGACAATCTTGGGTATTATTAGTCATGCGATGGAAAGTGACATTTTTATGGCATCAAGAGTCAGAGCAGAAAGTTGAAAATAAAGTAAAAGGACTAAAACAGACATATAATGTGTCAGCTGAACCCACAGCACTTTTATTTTCAGAAGCTGATGCAATCTTCTGAAAGCTGTAAAGTCTGTGACTTATTTTGTTCTAAATTGTCTCAGAATCATAGCCCTGCTTTTTAAAGATCTGTTGATTGCAGCCTGTTTTAATAGAAATGAATCATTTTATCAGGTTAAACAAGAAGTGATTACTGGTCTCCAGACTTTTACAGACCCTCTGAGACCACTGAGGTCCCAAGTCCTGTGTGCTCCAGCTCTGACTCCTGAGAGACAACCATCTCCTCAACATGTCCCTAGGAAGGACATTGCGACTAAATATCGGAGTTGTAAAGTAACAACGTAAAAATACGTCATTACTTTACCTAAGAAGAAAGTGTGATTATCAATACGTGTTATATTTTCAGCTAACTTTTTACTTCTAGTTCTTACATTTTCATGCAGCTATCTGTACTTACTCCTCACAGTTTAAAAAATGTATGAAACAAAGAGTTGATCCTCTCATTTTATTATGGTTTCTTTTCATTCTGGCTTGTTTTGTAAAAAAATTTTAAAATAACATGAATCGTGCCTCCTGGATAGAGTAACATTATTTTGTAGTTGGTTGGGAATTATAAATATGTACTATTCTGACACTCTATTGGTTTGTATGCTCCATCACACCTGTATGACACAAATCACGTCACACTCCAGCAGGACATATCAGACATATGAAGGTGACCTTGGCAGAGATTTACCCCTTCCCAGTTCTGCAGTATGGAGGACAGAAACTGACATAATTTAGAAATAAAAGCAGGAATACACAAGTGGACCAATAAATAAATAAATACACTAAAAATGCACCAATATAATTCAAAAGGGAGAACTTTATTTATTTTATTTTTTTCAAAACAGTAAAATGTAAATTATGTGCTAAAAGGTATCATTTGTTGGAACTAGGCTGGAAAAAATAAATATGAAGGTTATTTCAATTATAAAACATGAGGTAAAAGTCTCCTTTTTTAATTTAATCATTGCATTTTCAAGTGTGTTTATTTATTTATTTATTTATTTATGCCTTTTATGCCTTTTATGCCTTTTATGCCTTTTATTTCTAATCATGTCAGTTTCAGTCCTCCATACCCTCGAGCAGGATGCCCTGCTTTCAACAGTAACTCTGGTCTTTCTGGGCTTTTTAAGGACTTCTGCTTGCAGCTGTGTGCTGCTGTTTTAACACTACAGCTTTAAATATGTTGCTTTAGAATAAAAAAAACAAGCTTTGCATGTTAATGTAAATATGATTGCATT